GATTTGCGCTTGCGAATAATGTTGATTCGCAAGCGCAACGCAAATCGCAACGCTAATTTAGCGCTGACCGGATAATGAGGGCTCTGGACTTTCACAGAAGATGAAGTAATGAAAAAGCTGGAGCTTCTAAGAACAAACAAGTCACCCGGGCCAGACAAGATAAAACCCCGCATATTAAAGGAACTCAGGTGTACCATATGCAGACCTCTATACCTCCTATTCAAGATGTCAACAAATTCTGGAACGCTGCCTCAAGATTGGAAACAAGCTAATATTTCACCGATATTTAAAAAAGGGAAGAAAAACCTATCTACCAACTACAGGCCAGTAAGTTTAACGTCCATAGTATGTAAGATACTCGAATCCATTATTAGAGAAAGGATCCTGTCACACTTATCAGAAAACAACCTTTTGACGCAATGCCAGCATGGCTTCCTACCGTGTCGATCATGTGTAACCAATCTCTTGACGACTCTTGAAAAATGGACTGAAGTTCTCGATAGTGGTAGCAATATAGACGCAATTTACCTAGACTTTAAGAAAGCATTTGACAAAGTCCCCCACGAGCGTCTTATAAAGAAAATTGAAAATCTTGGAATTATGGGTAATGCCCTCCAGTGGTTGAAATCCTTCCTCGGAGCAAATACAGGAAATGACCAATTCGACCCCGCGAATCGAGCCTCAACAGACAATGCTGAGAGTGGAAATTCACAATTAAGGAAACAACGAGTAATAATCAATGGAGAAGCATCGTCATGGAAAGATGTCACTTCTGGAATCCCGCAGGGAACCGTTTTAGGACCGGTAATGTTTCTCGTATTTGTAAATGACATACCCCAGACTGTTAACAGCCCTCTGATAATGTTTGCAGACGATACAAAACTGTACCGGGAAGTGAACACCACGGATGACTGTGACGAGCTGCAGGAAGACATACAATCCCTAATGAATTGGACAAATGATTGGCAACTTCAATTTAACAGTGAAAAATGCAAGGTCCTAAGAATTGGTAAATCTTCTCCAGACTACAGTTACACTATGGGTAATACAGTTCTCCAGGAATCAGAATGTGAAAAAGACTTGGGAATGATGGTGGCGAATGACTTAAAGAACAAAACACACATACTGATGGTGGTAAAAAAGGCCAACCAAATTCTTGGTCTTATCCGAAGAACTTTCCAGTTTTTGGATCCTTCAAATATGATGATGTTATATAAGGCTATGGTCAGGCCACACTTGGAATATGCAAACACTGTATGGTCACCATACTTAATACAGGATATTGAAGCTATTGAAGCAGTTCAGAGGAGAGCTACGAGATGCATACCAGGATTCCAAGATAAAGAGTACTCCCAAAGACTTATGGACCTAAAGTTACCATCACTTGTGTTCAGGCGCTTAAGAGGGGATATGCTTGAAACTTGGAAAATCCTCAATGAAAAATATGACATTCCAATTAGCAATATTCTACCTCTATCACACAACATAGGAAGGACCAGAGGCAACAATAAGAGAATCTCGAAAAAACAAAACAGATTGATTTTAAGACAAGGATTCTTTACCCAAAGGGTAGTAAACTCTTGGAATTCCCTCCCCCAAGAAGTAGTGGAAGCTGATGACCTGAACCACTTTAAGAGTAAGCTTGACAGACTATGGAGCGACCACCCAGCCAAATACAACTACAGAGCCTTGAAGTAGACACAAGTCAATTAATTGGGGTCAATGCTAAACAATTATGCTCATTTTTATCTTAAGAACGGCCAAAGGTCAAGACGACCTAAGCAGTGAAAACTATAACTATAACTATGTTATTAGGCTTGGGTACATATAAGACTAGAACATGCATTTTCTAATGTGGAATGACCATTCTTTGAAAGTGATGCTTTACAGCCAGCATCGAATGTTAAATTTAGGAAACAACACCTAAAAAGAATGGTCATTCCACAATGCATTGAGTATTGCTGAAATTATTTTCACATATTGTAAAAATTGCATTTGTCTTGCTATTTGTTGCAAAAATAAGCTATTTATGCTGCATTGTGCTAATATGCATGCAATAAACCATCATTAAATTCTTAGTAAACTCAGCTGGAAGTGATACACCTATTTTCATAATTCTTCGATGTCAAATAATCTCATTTTCCAAGTTGACATGTAATATTCTAAAGGCCGGTGTAACACACGATATTGTACCCAGGGGAATATTGTCCTATTTTATATCTAATACCTTGCCGCAACTGTGCACATTATGACTAATGACCATGTAAAATAGGAGCTCGTATTTGATTCGTGTCATACATCATTGCTTCGAGTTCAGACACGTATCAATACAAGTAGGACACTGGGGACACACGGGAATATTTCTCTCATATGCACCGGCCGTAAATGTCCATAAATCCTAGGCTACATATCTTAAAGGGTATCTGACCGTCTAATGAACTATTTCCCATCTAAATATATTTCATATCTTAAAAGCAAGGATATCTTATCAAATGGAACGTTGAAAAATATGTATAGTTCACAGGCTACAAGGAGGTACTTGTTTTGCTGTTATCAGGCTACAATAACTTGATGTTGTCTGAGATTTGAGGATGATTTACAAATAACATTTTGCCATATGTTGCCCGATTACAGATAAGGTTTCTTAAGATCGATGTGAAAATGCCTTGTAATGGAATTGCGATTACTTTCATGAACGATTTGAAGCAATCTCTCTTTGTCGCAACTCGGAAACTATACTAGTTGTAGTTCCATCGGATCATCAATTTCTATATAGATGGATATATGAATAGATGACAGTGGTGATTTTGTATATAAACAGTCGATGTATTTGATGGATCAATCACTTCCAATAATTGGATCGACGTAAAATTTATTTTGGTATAGAATTGAATGAATATGAATTTGTGGACACAATCATCGTGTTTGCACCTAAATTTTGTAAACTTTTTGTCTTGATTGTTTCACTGTTTCCAATATTTTCCCGCACGTCGACGTATTCTTCCATCGTAGCCTTTATTCTGCATTGTAACCTTCATGCTAAATAGATGTCGCCCTGACTAATGCTGGCATTTAAAAGCGACATCTCTTCTTTTCACAATTATCATATGCATCTTCTTGTACATGTAACTATCATATAATATTATATATATTAGACTATGTATTACTAATTGGACAGATACTATGTTCACCATGCTTTGGGTTGGCTATTCGTGCAAGTGCGGTAGCCTGACAGTCGTTCCAGGGTATTTCAACATAGGGACTTCCTAGGAGGTACATGGCCCAACCAGGGAGTTTCCTTTAAATTTTAAAATGAGTTGTAAACCATAGATCTATTTTTTTAATGTTAAGGTTGAAATTGTGTTCTATTCAAATTTTATCACTGTTAAACTATATCTGCTTTAAATGGGCTTATTAGCCTTTTGCAGATTTTGTAGATGTAGATTTATTCGACAGGATTTTCGATTCAAAAACTTTTTCACACATCTTTTCCAAGGCAAAACGTTGCAATATATAAACATGGACCTTAATAAAGAAGATCATAATATATAGAACCAAAAATCAGTTTTAACTTCAGTTATCGAACAATTATTTCTTTAAAGCTCTACCACGGGGTACCATCGAATAATTTTGGCAACGTACCGGAGAACGACATTTTACTAAGAAATGGCAATAATTTAGCACAATATATTTTTTAACTAGAGTTCTACTTTGATTTTGACAAAAGTAAGTATTCCATGCAATGGCTATTTCATTCATGAGTTTGTAGGAATTCTGTTGGAACCCAGTTCTGATCAAGTACGAAGTTATTGAAATCGGCGCAGTCGGACTTTACTCCGAAAGGTGGTTTTTCGATTATAACTTTTTACAACATTTAAGTATAGACTTTTGAAAAAAGTACAGAATAGTCCTTATACTATTGAATAATTCTGTTATTTCTGATTCACACGACTCTGATTTGTTTAATTAAAAAAAAGTTTTAAAAATATTACTTAGGAACGTAACCAGAGCTGGGAACGTAACCGGAGCAGATCAGTTGAATTATATAATTTAAAAAAATAAAATATATGATTGAAAGCATATATATTATTTACAAACACATATGAATGTTAAAATGAGCATTTATTACCCTTCACTTACAGGAAAATCAATGCATGGCAATTAGTATAAATTTGAAATCAATTAGAAATTAGTATAACAGAGTGGGTTCTAATAGTTCGCTGAACAAATACAATGGGTAAAATCAAATGGAATTATTTGCTTACTACATTTAATCACTTCATTCTCCATACAATGATTGTTCTATGTTTGATAGCCTTTCTAAGGTAAGTGCACTTATGCATGGTAAATACCAAATTCAATTTTTCACAATGGATAATTTTTTTTTTCTTTAAATAAAATGTAATAAATACGCATTCGAACAATCCCGTATGTTTTTAAATGTGCTTTAAATCATATATTTTAATTTTTGATTAAATAATTCAACTGAGCTGCTCCGGTTACGTCGAATTCCCAGCTCCGGTTACGTTCCTAAGTAATATTTTTAAAACTTTTTTTTAATTAAACAAATCAGAGTCGTGTGAATCAGAAATAACAGAATTATTCAAAAGTATAAGGACTATTCTGTACTATTTTCAAAAGTCTATACTTAAATGTTGTGAAAAGTAATAATCGAAAAACCATCTTTCGGAGTAAAGTCCGTCTGCGCCGATTTCAATAACTTCGTACTTGATCAGAACTGGGTTCCAACAGAATTCCTACAAACTCATGAATGAAATAGTTATTGCATGGAATACTCACTTTTGTCAAAATCAAAATAGAATTCTAGTTAAAAATATATTGTGCTAAATTATTGCCATTTCTTAGTAAAATGTCGTTCTCCGGTACGTTGCCAAAATTATTCGATGGTACCCCGTGTCTACTATACTGGTGAAGCATTTGGCTGGCTCATTTGCCTCATGGCAAGCTACATGTACCCCCACGAAGATTGTTTGTAATGTCTCAGCAGTCATTCACGCTGTTATAACAACACAAACAAGCTACATAACTAAACTATTAAACACATTTTATTATCGTGAGGTATGTTTTCAAGGTGAAGTATAAAAATTACGAAATTTGCACATTATATAGCAGTTTTTATAAATAAATAATATGTATATCATACATTTATAATTGCACGTTTCCACGTGCATGGAACTGTCTAACTCAGGGCACTAAAACAAAATGGTTCACGTGATCCCATATATCTTGTACATCATGTATCAACCAATGGAGTTAGGTGTTTTCTTGGACAGATCTGCTTTTTGGTAGAATTTCTTACAATAGTTCTTTTTCTTCATCATTTTTTCCAATCTTGATCCTTCCTTTTGATTATACTTCCTTACATAACTATTAGATTCTAACTCCAACCGTCCCTCGCGGTTCCTTATCACGGACTTGCCCATGATTACATAGTCTTGTCCAGCACGTAACTTTGGGCAGTTGCACACATTTGTTACCCATATGAACTCTCTGTGTAGTATATGAATTGTATTTCTATATGATTGTTTTACTTCAAAATCAATTTGAGTTTCATTGTCATTGATGACTCGTGTTGATAAGACATGCCCCATTAGAACTGAAACAAAAAAACAAATGTAAAACCTGATGAAATGAAATGCGTTTCAACAGTACGGCCTATAACAAACCTCACGCGATGTAACCCTCCGCCTTCAACAAAAATTAATTTTATTAACAAGTTTTTCAATGCGAATTCTTTAGTATTACTACTGCAGCATGCGGAGAGATATTGATTGATAGGAAGGATTTGAAAATTTGTTCCATCTAAATTCTAAATATTGTCACTTACCAAAGTCACTTGGACAGAAATTGGTTTTCCTGCCTTTTACTCTTCTGCACTTCGGACAGTACTTCCGCGACGCTATTCTCGCCTGTCTTTTCAAGTCACGTGATGTTGCTGAACCATGTTTTCTGTATTTTGTCCTGGAGTTTCTCACTGACTTATCAACAGTGTTCTCTTTATAAGGTGGATGGCCAACTGCCCTGGCCGTTGTCAGCTTATCGTCAACCTTGGTAGGTTTTGTTGGCGGTTTTGTATAAGTTGGTTTGTAAATGTCATTGTCCGTGAATGTGTTCTTCACGGGGTCAAGGTCGTTGGGGTATTTGTCTTTGTGGATCCAGTATTCGTATGTGATGCCCGGGTTGATTTTCTCTCTACTACTAACCAAGACCTGAAAGTGGAGAAAAGACACAAGTTGATAAACATTGCACTTGAGAAATGCATTCCTATATTGCACGTATTGCTCGAAATGATGCTTGTACCTTTGTTTGATGCTCAACAAGATATATGTTCGACTGGATTTGCCTTTGTCTAATTCATCTATATACCAAATACAAAACGGGTGTTCATGGAAGTAGCACTAATTATTACATCAGCCTAACCAAGCGTGCATCCTCGCACAACAATGTGAACATAAACACAAGACAACGCCAAAATAGCAATTACCAAGTTTATAGTTTATATGAATTTGGTTGTTTCCCCGATACGAACTCGATCTTTGATGGATGACATTACCTTGATGTAGATGACATTTTGATATATTATATTACCTTGACGTAGACCAGATTACCTTGACGTGGACCACATTACCTTGACGTGAACCACATTACCTTGACGGGGACCACATTACCTTGACGTAGACCACATTACCTTGACGTGAACCACATTACCTTGACGTGAACCACATTACCTTGACGTAGAGCATCTCTGTTGTTGGACCTTTGGCATGGAGGTTTTCCGAGGAGTCCCAAGCCCGGTCGTAATAGAGAGTTGTACCCACCGTCGAATACTTCCCGGGGTAATCAATTTTTCTGTCACCATTTATTACAAAGTCTTTGTTTTCTTTTTGAATCGCTGAAAGGAAAGACGTCTCTGTACTTAATGGAATGACTTTAGGAAAACAATGGGAACATCTTGCAACGTGTAACGTGTCCTCAACTAAATTAACGCTAAAATATATTTTGCTATAATAGATGAGCATCCCGAAGAGTTAACCATTTCAATATTTCTCAGACAAATCAAATGTATGTCAAATAAATATTGAAGCATGAAACGTATGTCATTGCATGCATAGTAAATCAAATTTTTTCCTGTATTTCCTTGAAATAAGCGAAAACGAAGACAATTCGTGTTCAAGAAACTTTTGTAAAACCTACCGACAGAGATTGATAGGAAATGAGCTAAGTGATACGTCCGAAACTTTGGTGTTGAGAACATCAAAAACATGATATCAACGTTATGTTATGTTATGTTTCTTTATTTTCTCCGTTTAATTGGGGAGCAAAACAATTAATACATGTATATCACATTACAGAACACATATTACAGAAGAGTAAAGTGGTTATTAATATTTACATATTTACAAAATAGATGTAACATTACAATTCAAACGTGCCTATTTGAAAAATATGTTCATAATTGTAAAATGTATTTGCACATTCGATAACGAACATTTCATAAATGGCATCATTGGCTACATCAAAATCTATTCTGCTTCCCAGAACAGTCTGTAAGAAAACATCATCACCAAAGCTGAAAAGCGTAACAATGTCACGAACTGGTAGAATATCAACCAGCCGTTGCCAGCCGTTGATAACAATAAGAAATACATTCGTATTTTTAACACAACAAATGTATTGAGGGAACAGAAAAAAAACATGACTAAACAAACATGGCGTTATATAGTGGTACTTACCAATATATATATTTTTGTGTTTGTCTGTTATGTTGATATACGTAGCACCAGCGGGGATTGTTGCTATCTCGTTGTAACCATAGTAATCTACAATGTTACATTTAAGAATTAATCAAAAGATATTACAAATAGCATTGGCGGCTTTTTAGATTACCTGAACAGCCAACATTAATAAAACAGTTTCAATGGCATGGTACCGGTAAGTGGTTGAAATGATTATTGTTTCTGGGAACTCTTTACTTGTGGGTGCATTCTCCTTTGCTTGTTTAGGACTTGTGTCTATGATACAATAAGTACACCATGTGAAAGGCTAAAATTACTTTATGTGGTCAAATTGACACAAAAATGATAAAGTCTATTTTTGTAAAAAACAGGACATATTAACCAGCAAAAGGTGGATTCATGTCAAGTAGTTAGCTATAGTTTCCACCCTTTCTGACTAACTACATAGACGTATAGTAAGACTGCCGAATTGATTGAACCTTTGATAGGTACACTGCGCGAAATAAATTGATGTGGATTTAATTCAGCTCACGGTGGGTCTATTGTAAATATTTGTGTTCTATTTCTTCATGATTAGGGCTATTACCAGGTTAAAAATAGTTCGGACACTTCAAGGATTCTTCTGATCATCTTGCGCTGGTTTAAAGCATCTTTTAATGGTTGCGTTTGAAAATGCGTTTAAAACAAATATACTGATTTCCAAGTTTGTACGCATCTGTCATCTTTTTACTCTAAAAATCGTCTGCTTTTAAGCCAATTAGCCCCATTGCGACCTCGACAATCTCAATAATTTAATACGGGCAGTTTAAGAATAATTCAGAAGAACTCCCTGTAAGTACCCACATATGTAAATGAACGATGTTTTTGATAGGTGATATCCCGTAATGAACAGTGAAAATACACAAAACGTAGTACGGGTTCTTGTTTTCGTAGCCTTGAAACACAGGTCGTCATTCATCCACAATCCAGTGCAAATCTCTTAATTCTTCGCGTCTTTCGACAAATACGTCTCATTAAATCTATTCCAAAGATACCATGGGCATTGGATGAAGGTCAAATCAAACGTAATGGTCGTAGAATGCCCTTTGCCATACTTTTAAGAACATCGTAGTTTTGAAGATATGATTTATTTTAAACGATTTTTAAACGATGTTGATATGTTAACTGATAATTTGAAGGACTTTCGACTTTTTATTTGTAAGATAACATTTTTGTCAACTTTAAATCATTTTATGACTTACATATTTATAGAATTGTACTAGCTAAACAAGGTTACATGCGACTTAAAAATTTCAAGTAGAGTTTCAAAGTCATCCATATTGACAATTACACATATTTCGCTTTATCAGGTGTGAACAGGTTAATTATTGGAATAACATTATCATCAATTTGCTATACATCAATTAAAAAGAGGAGACTACCCAAGTGCCTATTGACTGATAAAAAATGTACTGGTTTTTGTTGTCCGATCATTCAAATTAGCATTAACCCTACATATCAATGCTTGCTGAAATCTCACTCTTCTGGAAATTCTTCTTTCGTCCGATTTTGAAGTTTGAACTTAAAGCGTCTGGTTTCTTGAAAGAAACGCTAATGTTTGTTTAATAAAGGTTACTAATACATTCTTTGCTAGCCCCAGACAGAGATTTGGTATCAAATGGAATGTATGTACCGCCGGGTATACATCCCCCTAAATAAGCTTGGTATCAAATGGAATGTATGTACCGGCCGGGTATACATCCCCCTAAATAAGCTTGTAGGTACCAAATTGAATGCATGTACTGGCCGGGTATACATCCCCCTAAATAAGCTTGGTATCAAATGGAATGTATGTACCGCCGGGTATACATCCCCCTAAATAAGCTTGGTAACAGGAAATCCCCTTTTTGATCACATATCAAAGCCTGGTTATATTTGGCGATTTAAAAATGCATCAAATTTGTAATTTCCTGAAATATTGTAATTAAGGAATCAACATTGACACTCTGACAGTCTTAGATACGATATCCAATGAAAACCTTTGTTTACCAAACTTATCGAGGGGTGTACTACCTAATAATTTACCTCGGGTATTTCACCTCCCACTTCATACTGACCAAGTCAAACCACATTAAAGCAAAGTGACACCAATTTGATTATTGCAATTACAAGGATATGATAAGTTATCTTGTATTTCTGTTGATGGAGCAAAAATCGCGGTTTAATTAGGGTCTTTTGTTGAACCATTACACACTAAATACGAATCGATCAGGATATCCTAAATATAACCAAATACTACTTAAAACTAGATATTTAAGGTGTACCGCTTGTAGACGACAAGAACTCAAGAAATGATAATATTGTGATCTAATTGTTAAGGAGATGTTAGTTTGTAATTTTTTTTAGGGAGTGCATAGGCCTATCTCATGTTGTTAAGCCTCAGTCTCATTTGTTCTACGGCGATCGTAGCATCACAAAATCGCACTGCTTATCCCTTTTTGAAAGCTACGGTCGCCGTACGGTTGTCGTAGATCAAATGTGTGATTTCTCGTTTTACCAGTTAAACAGGAGTGGATGCGATATTTTTTTACCTGTCTCTGGTCCTGGAAGTTTCTGTGTGAACTGCCCTTTAATGTGAAGACACGTCAAGTTGCGACCTCCGCAAACCATACATTGGTCAACCTCCTCGTCAGAACCTATCTTACCATCACATCCAGTCGACTAGAAAACACAATGTGTAACCTCTGATCATATCCTGTACGGTGACGCACACACCCATCCATAAATTTGGCAAAGGGAAGTCCCCTTTTGGGTCACGCGATAAACCCGATTTTATATGTTTGGTGTTTTAAAAGAACTCATTATTTTTACATTTCAGGTAAAAAGGAACTAAGATTCAAACATTACCAGACTTAACAAGCTATCAAATTAAGACTTATGGCTGCCAAAGTTATGGAGGGGAGAGTACAATACGTTAGAATCGCATGTGATCACGGTATAACTTGAATAATAGAGAATATGAAATATGTTACATTTATAACATACCTATGATGATGTATAGTGTAAACTGTTCACAAGACAGCGGGCCAATATAACTTTTGAAAAGCCCGCGCCCGCTAACTTTCTGATTGGTCAAGCGCTGTTACTACGTCATACATTAGGCCTAGGACAAATTGACTCGTACATTCGTAGGATACAAACATGTGAATAAATCATCATTTCCGAACCAATTAGATAAGAAAACGGTACTCTCTGACCAGACTAGATCATCATAGGTATGTTATAAATCGTTTATGTCACTATAGTTGCACATATGCCCTCGATTCTCAGTGATCAATGTCCCTCCCAAGGTCGGGCTATATATCACTGAAACCCTCGGGCATATATGCAACGATAGTGACATAACCTCTAAGTACTTACCAGACAGCTGCCTCTCACACAGACTTTTTTAGCACCACACGGGGTTCCGTCGACGACGTTTCCAAAGTTATAATAGAACTTATACTTCTTTGACATACATACGAGCTGGCAAGGGTTGCTGACTGAAAAGATGGAATAACACATATTGACTGTCTCACAAAATTAAAGTAAGACCTTCGCTTGTCCTCTTTGTTAATAATTTGCATCTCTAAAAGACACACTCGTTCAGTCAAAAGTATTTCTTTGATTTGCTCTATACAACTGGAAATTCAAAACCTGTGTTTTAATATGGAAATATGTTACCAAAATAATATTGACCTAAATGATAGAGAAAACATGGCATGTCATCGTCATTTAGATGACGAATTTCTCGACTAAATTCAGTAAATACGTTATATTTCTTAAAAATCACCACCTCTTGAAATGCCTGGTGTTCGTCCCAGTCAAATATGATATACTGCACTGGCGTATCTGTGGGGGGGGGGCTGACCCCAGAAAAAATTGGGCCTTAAACAAATTTTGGGCCAAAAAAGGCCTTAAAAAGTGGGCCATTTTGTTCATTACTGGGCCTTTTAAAGCCTTTTTAATTCCAGGCCAAATTTTGAAGAAAATGGGCCTCAAAATTTGGGCCGACTTTGGGGTTTTAGGAAAGTTTCTCTGAGCCGAAATTTGGGCCCCCCTTGTTGCTTCCCAGATCCGCCCCTGTACTGTAACTATTATATTGTACATGTAAGATCATAATCTCTGTTGATTTATAAATTGACCTAATTCGATTCTTTATCTGTGCATAGTCTCAGGAAGGGACCGTTAGGAAGGACTCTAGGGTTGAAGACCTTAATTTCAATTACACTGGAGTTTCATAGAGGATGGCATTCTTTCAATAATGGGCTTGCAGAATGCACCTTTGACTCTCAACGATGGCGGACAAATATAAGCTCCAATATAGTTCGGAAGTAACCAACAAAGTCATACTTTATATTCTAAATTCCTATAATCCATTACGTTTGCCAGTTTTTGTAAGAACTCGAGGGGCACTAATGCACATAAATGTCAAACCTTCATGCACATTAGCACAATAACACATAAACATGAATTCACATGGAAAATCAAAAATGCCTGCACCATTTAATCTTTTCACTCAGTGCTTTATTTTGCATATAAATGTTATGCACATTTACATTAAGCATGTGATCGGGAATAGGGGCTTTATATACTGTAGTATTCCATATTCTTGGAATGGTTCCCATAGAATTTCTTATTGACTTCAACTCCAAACCTAAGAAGTCGTTAATTAATGTCGTTGGGAAGGAAATAATTTGAATTATAGGACCATGGGGGTTTAAATCTAGACTTCCGATAACGTGTTATCTCTGAGGTTATGCAAGATCGAGGTGGAGAGTTATCGGAAAAGTTAATAAACAGAAGTTTAAATCCCAGACACCAAAACAAACACAGGAACGCTTCACAACTTCTGTTTAAGTTGTATTTTAGAAAATTCATTATTGAGTGTTTTGTATTTTTAATAGTATAGTAATATTTGTTACGCCATGTATTGACAATTTTCATGTTAAATGTTAATGGAGTTTTACTTACCCCCAGAAGGCTTATAAGGTACCCATGTGTATTGCTGCGACCCAAGGAAAAAGCTGTTGTGTTTCGTACATTGCTCGGATAAATAGTCAGCATTTCCACCACTATCATCTGGACATACCTGCAATTCAGGACATTGCAATCGTAATTATATTGGCAATATTATATCACTTAAAATCGCACAGATAGAGTTACACTCCCCTCCATAAGGTTGGAAACCGAAATACCATTTTCGGACCACGTTTTAAAGTCTTGTTTGTTTTGCGGTTTCAACTTCATCTTTATCATTATATTTTAAATCCGCCCTTGGGTAGTTGGAAAAAGATTCAAACCAAGGAGGATTGGCTCCCAGAATGCAACACCGATATTCTGCAAAACAATCACCTAGCGATAGCTTTGTTGGAGAGTATCGGGTCATTCTCCATGCAGTCGTACAAATTATACAGACACGAATAGCAAATGACGCATGCGTGGAGATTAAAGACTGGAGAGGTTAAGCTAACGATGTTTTTCACAACGTAACCGTGAACGCAAAGTACAAAAATTAACAAAGGAATGTATCGAGCGCTCATAGTTTTATGCGCGCTTAGTCTACTTCAGATACTTTTTCAGCATCAGAGTTTCGGGTTTAGAACGGGATAATTTGAAATTTGACGTTGGGTCAACGGGAACCATTTTACTCGTGTCTATTGAACACTATACTGTCAATTTTGATTTCGATGCACAGTTGAATTCTTGCTGAACACGATGATGTATGTCATGCATGATTTAGCGCCAAAAATCTTACGAAACGAGCTCGTTTAAAATATGTATTAGAAAACCAGCTATAAAACCGCATCAATGACATACTATAGAATCATTACACGCTATGGTGTAGTCTAAACAAACACTGGATTTGAACGGCTATTTATATGAGAAGGCTACATGAATTTGTATATGGTCGAGTGATACGTACAGGTTCAGTTTCGATTATATATGCAAAGCTTAACCTCTCCACTATCGAGTTGGAACCCTGGCTTCCAATCCTCCTTGGATTCAAACATAACATACGGCTTTAACATCAAAAGAGAAATTTCTGTTACCAAACCATGGAGGGGTGTAGGCCTATACGTAAATTCTAGCATTTCTGGCTTTGATCATAGAACCACGAAACAATTACATTTACAGTGATGCCGTTTGTACCGAATTAAGGTCAACGTAAATATTGGATCACTCAAGAGTTTGGCTATATGATCTTGAATAGAAGTTTGTTTTTCAAATACATTTAGGCCTAACTTTTTTGTATTTTACAAAATGTTTATTTTTGCTTTACAATATCTCTGTTTGGTAATAAGGACCCGAATAGAAGGGCGTTGTTCAAATACTTTTAATAGTTTTTTATATTTTATAAAATGTTTATTTTACAAAACATTTATTTATTTTATTCAATTTGAGACCTCTCGTTTTAGTATAAACTAAACTTATGAGAGATGTAGTGATTACGTTTCAATTTAGTCTTTGTGGAAATATAATAACATTCTCGCATTGATTTGTACAGGGACTTATCTCCCATTAGTGCCCTGGTTTGTAAACATTGCATTTTTTAATGTTGTGTTGATTAATGAATAAAAAATGACACCTACCTGAGTATTACATTGAACAAATTCATGTTTTTGTCCAGGACAGGTGGGCTCTTTGAGTCGTATAACTCTCCCACCGACCTGACCCACACATTCCCTGTACCTTGAGATGGCCCCTAAGCCACACGTGCGTGAACAAGCAGACCACTGAGACCACCCCGACCATGTCTCTTGTAGTGACGTACTTTTGATGTCGTCATTTTGATATTGCCAGGTGTGCTGTCTATTCGATCGTGCCTGAAATATAATAAAAATAATGTACAAATGACAGAATTCCAAGTAATATTCTGTCAAATATATACTTATTGGCGTTAAACTGATCATACATGACATTTTCATTTGAAATTTTGAACATGGCACTTTGGCAAAACAATTAGTTGAGAGTTGATGTACTTTAACGCTCTAGATAACATTTCAAACATAGTGTATGATCATCAAACTTTTCATTATTTTTATTCAAATTTCATATATAACCATGAATAGGGACAAATGATCTTGATGTCATGTTGTTGAATCTGGAAATGACTATTTGTTAACGCTCCAATGGCACACGTATATTAATTAAAATGATAAAAAGATACAAAGTATTCTTAAACTTAATTAAAACCATCTCTTGGAAAGCCACTCTTTTTATGACTGACATGAATGGCAATATAAAAGACAGGATCGTTTGCGGTGAGAGCATGTTCATTCATAAAATACTTTATTGGCCATCAGTATATTCCGATTTTATGATTCTACAGGGTGAACTGAAAAAAGTTAAGGTATGTTCTCACATCAACTAACTCAAAGATGCACGTTTGAAGTTTACGCCCTGAGTATAAATAAATGTGCCCAAATCAGTTTTAAAACATTGTCTTTAACCGATAAACATTTATAGAGGTGATGTTCAGTTGTTTGTTAAGTGATCTTTCCATGTTCATGTCCTCAAGTGACTGTCTCGATTGGCCATGTTTTGATAAGAATCCCGACTTGTAATAGCAATAACCAAAGCTGATATAGCACTTAAAGCATTGTAGTCTAGCTACAAGACCTTGCGACCCCCCCCCCCCCACTGCTCATCCCAAACTGTGTTAAAAGGTGTGTACAAGTAGAGGGGTGTCCCCGGGGGGGAGAGGCATAGGCAGGGGCTTGTGGCTAGACTAGCTAGACTAAACATATTGACGCAGACTTTATATTGAACGTTGTTTACCACTGAAACGGCGAAACCAATTCCAAAATTTGTCAATTCGACCTTGTTTATTTCAAATTCAATAATGAACATCAAGCATTTTAAACTATTAAAAATGTATTCTAATTACATACATGGACAAAACTCGTGATATAGTATTATCAGCGAGACCCACTTGACTTCAAAAACAAAACCTAACTAAACACTTGAACTATTACATCAGGTTGCGATAACCAATTTCGATAATCAATTGAAATATGAAGAAAAACATCCCAAAATACAAATAATTGTTTGTTTGGACCCGACAGTGTTTTGTAAGCATCATCAGAGAACAGATAACAAGTGGGGTTATTAATGCACTTTTGTTGATATCATCCGCTACTTTGTGATTTCTTTACGCTTATCTCAGCCAGGTAGATGTTAAATTACCAGATACATCATTAAGTCTAATCCCCATTGCATCTACTATCGCTTTTGTTCCGGCTCTGACACGATAAAGATTACCTGTTCATTCAAAGATTGCCTCAATGGCACTTAACATCGATACGACTTCCAAAATCTACTCTATACGAGATGAAGGCGCAGAAGAATCCATGCACTTTGATCGGAAAATAATCAACAATCGCCAAAGGCTTATTTTCGAGGCAGTAAAATGAAACCACACGCGAGTCTTTATTAGTCTTTTCAGCCATAAAGATGTTTCTCAAGAAGCCGGAAGATGAAGTACAGATATCCTTTGACCATAGTTTGAAGGGAAAAGAGAAGATAAGTGGGGAAAGATAAGACTTCACACGCTGTCTTACTTACAACGTATTACGATTGTAAAGATATTCTCGCCCATGCTGAGCAGATAGCCTGGGATAGAGGTCCAAGTTGAATCAAAATTAGGTGAGAACCACTGCTACCGTTGCATCGGAGATTCGGGAAGCGTTGGCAGATCAATATATTAAACATGATACTTTGACCAAAAATAACTTTAGATGAAAAACAGATCCTCCTGGCGTATCCACCCCTCTCACAACTGTCAACAGTACTACTATGATTTAATCTAAGGCCACTGATGTAACTTTCTTTAGATAATTTGAGCTGATTGCGATGTGATGAGATAGAATAGGATACCATTTGAGAGCGCACCTCGCCACAAAGGACTATCAAATAGCCGGGCCCTGTAACATATCTTTTCTACATCAAACCATTCGTGCCCATTTGTAAAGGATAACTATGCCAAAATACTGCTCTCGTGCACTGCACACTTTGATTTATCAGAGTCTATCTTTATCTAAAGCTTTAATTGTCTATTCAAAGGGATACTGAGACTAGAATGTGGCTCCCACAATGTGTACTTTACTACTTACTGATATTTATATCAATTTTGCAATTTCTAACTGCCTTTTCTTCAAATCTTGTGGCAATGTTAAGCAAAACTGCTGTGACGGCCATCTTGGAATTTTTAATTCAACATGGCGGTCTCGAATAGGTTTCTTAACGTTACTTTCAAATGATATGACAATAATACAACAAGGGAATCCAAATCAGTAGTCAATGGGCTCTTAATTTGAGTTTACTTTTCATTTGAGGTAATGGATGGAAGAGTTGCGTAATATGATGTATAAACGGCGCAACATATGTTAATCATGCCAGACACATTGGTAATATTACACAGTATGCCTCAACTGATAACATAGTTGTTGTTTATCATATAATTATAATTCATTACTAATTACATCAACGGGATACATTGATACACTGATATGGCTTATACTGCGGCAATACATGCATATTTAAGGCGTATCGGCATGATTTGAATTTTTATGATTTGTTTACCAATGTTAAATGAAATGAGTAATATTTTTCACATTTTCATGTTGATCTTTACACGTCATGATAGCTAAACATATTCCAAAATCAAATAAATATTTTGTTACACTTCCCCAAAATTTTATTTTGTTTTTCCTGATCATGAAAGTGCGCAATTACCTTAAACAATTTAGACTAGCGATGAACCATCCTTCACTTATCTCTTCATGATTTCTACATTTCATCAAAAGTATCAAGAATATAACATAAGTTACGCAATGTCTAGTCTAAATGATAAAATAAATGGAATGTTAAAATGGCTTTCCGTTTGACATGTGTACATGGCGATTAGCGATGTGGCACAGGAGCCAGGCGATAATTTAATATTAATTGTTAAATGATGGATATGATTGGAGCAATTATGTCAGTGGGATTAGACGATTATCAAAATTATTTTATTCAATTGCTAAATTCGTTAATAATGTACAGTTATACAAAAATGTAGACAAATGATCATCAGCTATTTTAATGACAGCTACGACGTATTCCACATTCCCTCCAAATTGACTAAATTGATCATATTATTCAATATTTTAGCCCAAACACATGAAAATTGGTCTCATCGCGAAAATTAAAATTGTGCCACAGAGCCAAAAATATGTCAAAGATTAAAAGTTATTATAAATGTGGTAAATTCAAATCCGTCTGTTTGGTCTAAATGAGCCATGGCTCATTTCAAAGGTCTTTTTGTGGTTTTGAAGATAAACAAAAGATCCAAATAGGCATATTTAAAAATCAGTGATTCATAAGACTCATTTCTTATGTGACTTGGCTCATTTTTAGTTGGCCATTCACGTACTCGTATAACGTCTTTACGCTAATTGATATTTGAAATAATGCGATATATAATGAAAATATTGTTTATTTTTCTTAAAAACAGCTTTAATGGTGATTTTTTAGACAAAAATCAAATTTTGCTACGGAAACTCGAACAACGTAACAAATTATGCATCAAGTCCGTCGATAATTTCTATCTAGTTAATTAAATATGTTTCAGACCAGCTCTCAAAATGGGTTGTTTGATATTCCATACTCATTAATTAAAAATAACACGTTTTATAATGTCCATATGTGTTGTATCCTCCAACACATGCTAAACATATTCAAATTACTAACAAATTAAATATAATTGAGAATTTATTATAACAATCATTTAAATACATTGGATTAGTTTCATTTCTGAAAATAATTGTTTGGAACCATTTGTGTGCATTGATGAAATCTTAATGTTTGGAGGATACAAAATGTTGGACAGCAAAACCTAAATCCGCCACAAAAATAACAATATTTTCTCTGATGTTTTCATTGTCTGTCATTTAAGAGGTAACCCTTAAAGGCACTTTCTGGCGAAATCTTAAACAAATGATGCATCAGCAATGTTAATTTAACCAGTGTGTTGGAGGATACAAAATACATGTATTAGACAAATGCTATATGCACAGAAGATGTATTTCATTGAATGGGTAACACACATCTAACATCGCCCTTTCAAGAGCTGATGTCAAACATATTTTTATCAACCAATCGATGCTCTGTGTGTGCTGTAACTGGGGTTTGTATCACTACAAACAAAACAAAACTTTGTTTTTTGACAAAATATCACATTTTAAGCTGTTTTTTGAGAAATGATAAGCAATATTTTCAGTACACATCGTATGATTATGATAACCAGTTGTGATGACATCAATTAGCACACATTAAATGTCGTTGGTATCAACAGTCAACACACACAACGCAGGCTTAAGTATAAGAACATCTGATTTTGAAAATATCAATTAGCGTAAATTTCCCCATATTCATGTAGTACACTGCAATATTGACAATTGTTGGTTTATTTGTGTTCAGATTGTGAAAAAATATCTTAAATATCGCCGTTCATTGTCAAAGAGTACATCGAAATCGGGGAAATCTATGGTAAATTGAAAAATCAACATGAGTAACGGTGTACTGTATATTGCTGATGAAAATGTGCGGCTTTCATAAAAACGAGAGATTAGTTTTATACACCACTTAGTAAGACCACGTATATTGCATGGCTCAACAATTTTTTTTGCAGTAGTAGTCAAGATGTCAAGCGATAAGTCCATTTGAAAACAATGACTGGTGAATCTAACATTATTTCGATTTTGAGAAGATTTGACCTCTTGACTTACCTTCAACTGGTACTCGAATGAGGATTTGTTCTACCATTCATTTTCAAGTACCTGGTGATACATTCAAGTATAAATGAAACCAAGTACCAAGCCTTTCATAAACCAAAACATCCTACTCAATCCATCCTCTATTAAAGAAGATGATGTTAGAATTTGATTTTTATGCAACAAATTCACACAAATATACACCGTTACTCATCATGTTGATTTTTTATATCATATGTAAACACATTGAAAATTATCCATGAATAATGGGAAAATAAATATATAATAATGATCACCATCTTCATCTACATATTTTCGTTTGGAAAAGGTAGGCCATATAACCATATGCCATCGTTCATGTAAGAGCGTGATTCTAAGTTGGACGATATACCTCTTACATTAAACATTGGTTCTTAACTCATAGAGGTGATCGTGGTTATAAAGAGGACCCCACCCCCAGTAGCAACTTTAAAACTTTGGTCGATTTGATTTTAGTGATAGTCTGTTGGGTTGTGTCCACGTTTACGTTTTGGTGCTGCTTTTTACATCGTTAACAAAATTGTACAAACTGTTTTAAACCATGAACTGCCTCAAAGTAAATGTTTCTCATATGTATTCATTGATTCCAAAGTCACCATGTGTAATGGAATAGTTAGGTCTCAGATCGAAATACCTAGTTCAAATATCCCGTTCAGTTGACTTAACATTTCGTAATAAATTGTAAGAGTTCCTTGTATAAATCAGTTATCATCGTAAGCCACAATACCTTTATCCTTCATTGCAAATTATAAACTGTATCAATAGAAAAATAGCAAGGCCAAAGATTGTAAAACATTTTCCTATTGCTTAAAAGAAAATAATAATTTCAAAACCAAAACACAAGAAACATACTTCTTTTACTAGAATAATCAATTAAAATGATGTAAATGTAAAGTTTATTCAATGAATTATACTAAACTTGAACGCGCTGCGTGGTGAAAAATGAATAGTTTAATGGATTAAGAACATTTTATTCAAGGTTATGAAGTCTGGATTTTGCCGTGTGAGGACGTCGGTTCTGTTGGAAAACGGTTTCTTGTCATCAATGATCTAATTTTGCGTTACCATGAATGACTTTGTTGGCAATTTTAGCAGCACAAGTGTATGGCTCAACGAAACTTTTAGATTAAAAGTAAGAATGGAAAAATAAATTCTTTGGCAATTTTTCGACTTTACAATTTCTTTCAGTGGCGAAAACTTATTTTATGGATAGAGACAATCCACTGAAAAGGTCATTGTCATGGTAATATCAATCAAACAAAGGGCTCAAAATTGCAGCTACGTAAAAATACAAGATATGAGCTATTTCTAGATCACTTAATAACCATTAGTAATATGATTGTAATTATGTTAGACTTTGACAGTATATGTACCTCTTATCTATATAAATATGACTTTATAATGTGGCAAATATACACATATAAGTTTATGAAGAATGGTAATGTTAACCCACAAAATGCAACAGCAACGTTTTATTCAACTACTGGGCCAGTTCTAATTGATACAAGTCCCGATTTTGCCAATGATCACTTCTTACAAAACTTGATCGTACGTGTGGCAAAAGTCCCATGCTGTTTATAAGTGCGAGATTGCCCATATCTACTGAGTTAATACTTAAATTTGATCACATTTTATCATATAAAACACTACTGGCTAAATCTTTCTCAGATTAGTTTCGAGTGATAAGTTATCCGTGCCAGATCTCAGTAAAGATACAATAAAAAATTAATGATTTGTTTTTTAGGCATGCTCTGTTGGCACGTATCTAACTGGCGGATGTATTAAAATGATTAAATATCGAAGTAGATAAATACTTTCTGCACCGGTGTGAAAGAAATAATGGTCCTCCAGGGATTATGGTCCCCTTTCTGGCCCTGATTGTGTATAAGATAATGAGGGAAAGAGTTGTATTTAGGTCACCATATAAATCAATGGAGAGTAGGACCATAATTTGAAAGGACCTCCTACCCTTTTACACCGGGCCTAGCTATGTATACAGTGCCATTGAAACGATATCTAAAAGTACATTTCCAACATCTTGGATATATTTTATACACTACACCGTGCCATCAAACGACATCTAATAGTATTGCATAACAGAGATTTTTGAATACATTTTATACCAATATTTATGTTGATTAATGCAGTATATTAAATAGCATCAAGCGACGTTAACTATCAAAACTATTACATAATATTGTTACTTACTTGTATATATTGCCCCAACGTTAACAATCCATAGAATACGAGGATGTATTCCCCTTGCATCTTTCTACGTTTCACATCCCTGAAGAGTTAAGCAAAAGTATAATCCACGTGTATATGAGAGAGACTTGAATTAGATCCGGCCTCGTGGCTATCAAAAATCAACTTTAATCTGTCTACAATGGAACAGTATACTCCGGCAACACACTGGCTAAATACAATCCAAACATCTGAAAGTCGACTTTTAAATAGCGTATTATTACTATTAAGTACTACATATCAGAAATGATATATACCTTCCAAAATATAAATCGTTTCTGCATCGCAAGTATAAACATGAACTGTATACTGTAATTTAGTTTAATTGTATCGCGCAGTAGTTGTTGGCCCTGTCCTTCCAATGGGCTTCTACTTTCATCTGCCACAAAGCCGCACTGTGTCTCGATACTACGACTAACAGTACAGGCTGGCTCAGAATATTTGCCCACTTGTAACGTTGGTAGTACTTCGCTTTTTCTTCTCAAACTGCTGTAATTGGTGAAAATGATACATAAATCGAAACTTGACTTACTGATACAATATGACTATATATAATTGCAGTAATCAGTTGGTAAATCAGAATTTATATTTTACGACAGGAAAATGTAATATTACTGTCAAATATATGTTTTTGATAGATTCCTTTTTGCTCGTTAATGCCTTAGTTACATTCGATCTACGGCGGGTCATAGTTTCCCAAAATCGAGAGGAATATGCAACACAAAATAAGCTTAAGCTGTATTATGTAGATTTAACATATCGATTTTGTGAAGCTACGGCCACCGTACGCCCACCGTATAGCAAACGTGACTGGGGTTATAGTAATTCTTCCCCAGTTGATTCATTTCACGTTGCTTCCGTCTATCATAGGCACAGAGAATTTTAAAATTTTGGTTCTTCCAACAATCAAGAAGAAGGATTGTATTATCCTGATTTCATGTTATTTGCACTTGGATTTATTTAGAGGTTGGGTCACTTAACGAATTAATAACATTAATCATGTTTAATCAGATACCTATAAATTATGATCCATTTAACTCCTTAGTGAATGTAATTCATAGCTATGTTACTTCTAAATAACTTGTAATGTGAAGTATAAACAATGGTTAACAAAGGTTTAAGCACCCTTTGATTGAAATCAGTTGTTAAGTTTACATGTCGTCCTAAATTAATTAAAAACATAATATAGACCTTGAGGGTAGACTTTAAGTAGATGGGTGAATCTGGCTTATGTCGGTTTTCGTCTACACAAAGGGGCAGGGTGTCTAAAGTAGTAATCTCTATGAAACTCTTAAATTCCATGGAAATGAATTTCACGTTTGATGACAGGTTACGTAATTATATTATATTACTCTCGTCAGTTTACATTTCCATGGGATTGAAACAGCAAGGCTTATAATTACGTGACGTAAGACATTCGATGATTTGTGAGGTCGATATGACATAATGGACCCCTCGTGACCTAGTTTTGAGAGTCATTAATCTCCTTTGTGTCTGCGTACATCAATTACTAATGGAGAAATAAAAAACAGAAAATTTCATTCATAAAAACAACCAACCCTACGTTAATTATATCACGTTGACTTTAGAGGTTAACAATAATTGGTAGAAGAATGTAACAAATTTCGTTTAGTGTTTATATCATGTTCGGATCACGACCTTGAAATGTGTAACCATTTGCATTATATCAAAAAACTTTGATTCCTACTTACATCTGTGGAAACATGAATTCATTTCTGCAACTTCACATATTTCTCGGTGTAACAGTATATCCAAAAACAATGTCTGTGATATATCATAATAAACCAGATACCTCAAAAAGCTAAAGTGTAGACATTTTCAGATAGGAAATAAAATAGTTCTTAATCAAGCATATAAAATTTTATGACTTACCAAAATCAGGTCATAAACTCTGGATTAAATGAAACCTCGGACTGAGGTGAACAAAAATATAAAAAGTCTTAACAACTATATGTTTAGCTGGTGGACCACTTTTGGATTTTTACCAAGCACTATCTCAATTGATATCACATGGTCTTTATTCCTGAAATTAGCTAAAGTTGTATGTTCCATCGTTTCTAGTTTGACATGATTGCCTCAAAGATAACTAATTAGAGACCTTCAAAGATGATGAGGATAGAACCATCCATGTTAGTTTACATTATAAAACAGATGTATACCAGCAGAGAGTACCAGATCAGGAACATCCATCAATCAGTTTTTATCCACCAAACCCATATGGGGTCACTGGTTCAAAATATAGCTGGTGAACATGGTGAAGGACCAAATGGGTGATGGGTAACCGACAACTATTCGGGCTGCAGTGAAAGATTTAATGCAACATCAACGTTAAATTAAAGTTAAACTTGTAAAATTGGAATAGAAAATTAGGCATGTCTTTGAAAACATCTATCACACCTTTAAAAGTGCAATCATATCATAGGGTACATCATTTAATATCGTATCATATCATATCCGCAACATAAGTGGAACACCATATGGTGATTTGGATTGTTTACACATATTTTGTATCATATTTATTATTGCATGACTGTAATAACATATAAAAGAAAATATCCCTGTCATCAACCATGTCAACAGACGATTAGGTTCAACCAACTACATGAGATACACATATCACTCACTTAGAATAATATAAAGAAATTTTGATTAGAAACATTTATTTCGACTTCCGCTGCTACGACTCACAGAAGGCAAACTTGCATAATGCTAGCTTAACTACCACATTTATGTACCAACTACTGACTGAGTTTAGTTCTCTTTTCAACAGTGAAAATGTTCGTCGTACATTTACAAGGTGGGCCAATATATGTATGGCTTTTCCAAACCGAATTAGATTGTTTTCGTATACTAGTTGTTTCCTATTGTGACAGACATAGAAAGGTGCGGTCTAGTATACAGTTTTTGGAGAAAAAATTAACTCATATAAACATTGGATGTATTAAACTAGTACTTGCAATTGATATATAGTATTTCAAATATGAAAAGATAACTCCTTCGATTTCTAAACAATTTTATTGTTACAAATAACTTAAAAGATACTTGAAAACCAAAGCTAGAAAAGCGTTTGATCGACGACGTATGTATATTCCTCTGCTATCCAAATACTGGGGCATATTTCTGTGTTGCGCTCTTCAGTTGCTTGTATATATTCGCGAACAGGGGTGTATATTGTACAAGCAATGGAAATTATGGTAAGTGTGTGTTACAGTGATCAAGTGTGTGTATACGCTCTAAAGAGGCTACTTCCATGTGTGATATTTTAAACAAACCTTTGACTCACATCTTAATTTACTTCATTTTAACCGTTCGGAAGAATATTGCCTAATCCTAATTGAGTGCTATTTGACCTGGATCAACTTATATTCGTTGCTAGTGGATGTAAATTCTTACTTGATATTTTTGATTGTCTTTAACGCGAACCACAAACCTTATCAAGTAGGTTGACAAATAAGAATATACACATGGAATGCGGCTTCCCTTAAGCTCAACAAGCAAACTGTATGCCGTACAAATCTGATATAGAAATAACTGAAACCCAAAATATGTTCAAATTCACAAATCACTACTGGATGAAAAACAGTGATCTCCATGTATTTTGGAAAGTTTATGTTCGATCTGAATCAAGGTGGTACATTTCTCTGGATATTTTCAATTTGAAAATGCAGTCCACTTACAACAACTTGCTCCAAAGATATACACTTAAGCACGTTTGTAAACTTAATAAAACAGCTAACATTAGAGATGCTAAGAATGCTAGACGAATATGTATCTTTGATTTTCTAATTCCGTTGACATTTTTACGATATTACAGCTGTAATTTAAGTTTTTTGTTTCAATCTTTTGTATTATCTTATATTCAATTAATAATAATTAATGAGTTCAACTTCCGTTCAAATCCCGTTTCAGCCCAATGCCTTCATTTGATAACAAGATGTCTCTCTCATTTTCAAAGATTTTAACATGTCGATCTACGAGTATATGTGCTTGAAATGAGTATCTAAAAAGTAGACGTTGAATTAAGATATAATTGTTACTTATCTGAAAGCAACGTTCATATTCCAGTGTTTTTAGATTTATATGTTGGACTATGTGTCTATACCTTGAGCCCCGCCTGTAAAATAAATCATCTATCCACTTGGCCTTCAATGCACTTAAAATGCTATATGTCAAACTAACCATTATCATTTTATATCTCTATGACATGTTGATATGTCATTACTTGGTGAAGATGAACGACCAATAAACTTTAGTCGATCAATATGTGGTTACATATTTTTTTAATTTTGGCAACTTGAATTTAAATAACTTCACTAAAAGAGTAGAACTCATATGCCCCCCCCCCAACAATAAAAGCCCCTTCTTTGCAAACCCTGGCTATGCGGCTGCTGAGTGATGTAACTATTACTTATAAATGCACACCAGTTCAAATGGCCACAAGCCTTCCTTCGCATCGAAACTATCGACAGACCAACTGACCAGTCTTGAACTTCCAAGGTGGTCATAACAAACTGAACTTGTATTGTATTGTATTGTATTGTATTGTAATTGTATTGTATTGTATTGTAATTGTATTGTATTGTATTGTATTGTATTGTATTGGAGCAACTGAAATATTGTGAATTAAAATGAACAAACCCTCGAAATCGATAAATGTAGAAAAGTATAACCACATATTATGAAACAGATATCTTGCAATTCAAACATACTCAACGATAAGTTATCACTTAATAACTTATGCCAAGTAGCACATCATAAGTCTACCCTCATAATCCAAGCGATCTGTGAATCAATTCTGATACAATAATAAAGTGCTGTAAGATTGGGTAGAACTATTGGTATTCGATAACAATGAGTATAAGGTTAGTGGTCCGAAAGTCGGTAAGTGATCTGGCTAATGAAGAGCTAAACTTGACCTTCTCGACCATCTAGATGGGTGCAATATATCTTCCTGAATGAATCATGATCTACTCGGCCCTCTACTTATCTAATCGATCCAACTTTCTCCAGTCACTTGAGATGAGGATTATATCATGCTCTATTGTCAGAGGCGGGTTTGGGTATTCACAAGGGGAACACGAACATTTTTTAACACAATTGTTAAAAAAATTGTTCAAGACAAATGTTGGGGCCTAATGCCCCTCACACCAAAAGTGGTTGTTTTTGCTGTCCTACTTACGAACAATGATTTACAGTGCATTGTCAAGTCGTTTTTTTAAAGCAAAAACATGAAGGGCTAAAAACGTCCATATTTACAATTTGGCGATCGATTCTAAATATATTTTTAGATGCAAATCAGGAATCTCAGTGTAAAATCGTTGTTTCGAAAATCATCTTGTTTTTCATATAGACACTAGAATGTCTGTTTACCTTTATTATCTAGAAACTCCCGAGGATTTATTTATTTCATTACAGGAACAACTGCGAAAGCTTTTCATTTTTCAAAAAGGTTAGGTCTATATCAGAAT